ATTTAGCTTAAAGGTTTATATGGATTTAATAGTGTTGGCTAAAGAAAAATCATGATTATGATTTCAATATATATCACTTTCAAATATTCTAATAGATTTAACAATATTATATATATACACATACACTTTTTAATGTTATTTTTTTTTCTTTCATTTTCATGACTTGAAAAATTCATTATCTTCAAATCAATTACATGTATATTTTGGTGTTAATGAATATATGTAGTAGCAAACGTGTTATTCTTGAAATCACCAAATGAGTGAAGTTTTCTTACAATCCACTATTTTATACTAGCTCAAAACTGTTCAATTTAATTTTTTTATGAATGTATTAGCCACTAACTTTGTGATCTTAATCATATATAGGGTAAAGAGAACATATCAATTATCCTTGAAAGCATGCATGTGAGTTCAAGGATCCTACATGAATTGAGCCAAAGGTAAGTGAATCTAATACTTTATGAGCTTATTCAGTTATTTCTCATCAATTATATAGAGCTATAAACAAACAATAAAGACTAACTTGTGCAACCTTTATGGAAAGTTTGTAAGTTTAAATAGCTTTAGACAATTTTAATAAGTTTGTTGGCTTTAGGCAAGCTTTGTAATACCTTGTGGTTAGTTGATTATGACAATTTTAATTGTTGCAAATTGTAAAGGAATTATGTTGGATAGTTGATAGTTTTGGATAATTAAAATGGATTGTATTGTCTAACTAAAAATTTTATATAAATTGCATTGTCTGGTTAGTTATTTTTGTATACAAGGATGGGGTAGTATATAGAAATATATTTTATATATATATATATATATCACTTTTTACATCTGTTCTAATTATAATCAATGTAGAAAGTTGATTTTCTACATTGTTTATAACAATAATTGATGTAGAAAATTAACTTTCTACGTCAGTTATATAACCGATTTAAAAAGTTAAAGATTTTTTACACCTCCTAAAACAACATTATCTTGTGAATTGATGTAAAAAGTCATTTTTAACTCTGTGTGTGTGTGTTTTGTGTGTGTGCATGTGAGAGAGAGAGAGAGAGCTCCCCTCCCCCTACCCTTATTGGCTTAGTTTATGCAAACTTTTCCTTCGGAACAATCAAAAATACGTAATAGCTCTTTCCACTTCATTTGGTTGCCTGAAAACAATCATGGAATAATGTTCTGGTAAATATAAATAATACATACATACATATATACATACATATTTTGAATGAGTTAACTTTTAAAAGCAGAACTGTAATACTGCAGAGCTAATTAATTAGTTAGATTTTTCTTTTTTTTCTTTTCTTTTTTTGTGTAAAGTTATTTAGGAGTGATGATATAGGGCATGCTCACACGAGAGAGGCATGCTAGATGGATGTTATGGCGTGGGAACTTAATAAGATGATGCTAGTTCCTTAATCATAATTATCTTCTTTGTTTAGTAAGTGGAAGACAATTAACATTATTAGCAACTTCAAGTAATGATAAAGATGAACACATTTTTTTCTTGTTTAATTAAATGGTTTCTTGTAGGGTTTGGTGAGTGTCAATGAACTGGAAAAGAGCAAAAAGTCACTAAGTGAACAAAGAGTCTTGTTTGCAATTGTTTAAACTCAATATATCTAAATAAGTCAACAATGATCGATTAGGTTGACTAAAACATTTAATTCTCCTTTAGTAAGGTCGGTAATCCAAACCTTTAAAAAAATAATATTAAGATTGATATCACCCATTAAACCCAACAATACTTAAATTGAACTTGATGTATAATATTAGATATCATCATTTGGTTCTATAACCAAGGATTGGATTCATTTGAATTATAACTCAACAATAAATTAAAGTGGATAAAGTCGAATTAGTTTTTCATTACATTTACTTTTATATATATTTATTTGTAAGATTCTTTGCTTGCTTTTTTATTTTTTAGATCTCTATTTTTTATGCATCAGACAAAAGTTTAGTTAAAAAAAAAAAACAAAACCCAACAAACAAAGAAAGCAACATTATAATTATCCCAACCAAAAACCTGCAATTCCTTCCGACATATCGCTGAAAGCATTCCTTCCCCTCATTATGTTTGTGGCATCGAAACATTTAATTAACCAATTTCATTCCTCCTAATTGATATTGACAAAATAATAATCTATCCCTTAAGTAACTTAATAACTACTTTAACATGTTTTTCATTAAACATTAATTAAGTAATCAGCAGAATTGGATTGATAAACTATTTTACTCCCCCATCCTTATATATAAGAGGTGTTCTAAAAAATTTTTTTGTCCATAAATATAAGAGGTTATTGGCATATTTTTTAATGGATGAGCCATTATACTTTTATTAAATTGAAAAGAAAAAAAAAATTACTCTCATTAATTTACTTTAGAAAAAGAGATTTATTTTTTTATTTGTAATAATTAGAGACAAAATTAAAATATTACTTTGCTTTTAATTAGACAATTAATTTTTATTAATTTGCATGATTTGATTAAAAATATTTTATATATAAGCATAAAGGGAGTAGCTCCCAATGTCAATCTTGGCCAGTAGGTCATATATAAAGCTTTCTTCCTTGTTTTTTTTTTTTTTAATAAGAGTTCTTCAAGAACTTTTCTCTATTCCCCCAGCGTAATTAAGATGTTTTTTATAGCCCTTGAAAATAGTAAAAGGAGTGATTATGCTATGGGAATTAGTATATATGCACTACTAATTGCTTTATATGCTTATAATAAACAGGCGTAAGATCAGTAGAAAGTTAGGTTACTTTTATACAATTTTAACTGTTTGATTAAATTTTATTAGTTTATACAATGTAGTTAAAAACGCCTTATATATAGAATGAGGGAGAAATCTTATAGCATAATCTGGCTTCTCTCTATGATTCTTCTTTTATATCCAAATTTGAGCCATTTAAGTGAAGCTTAAGAATTTCAATGTTTTTTTTTTAGGGGGAGGGGTTTACTATTTAGAATATTAGTAATTTTGTATTTATTCATAACCTTGAGAGAATATGACTACGGAGGACCACAAGAGAAACTGAACCCTGCTAGCTTAGTCCATAGATAAACCAAAATGAGTTTAAAAACTTGTCTAAAACATATTTAGATTTTCTCAAAATGGATCTAGCTAGAGTCCAAATGAAAAGAGAAAGAGATAAAGGTTTTGTGGCCTCACCTGAATAAATGTGGGACCGACCAAAATTCTTTCATGGGGCAATATCAACTGGAGACTATTTAACAAGAATTTCTAACAAATAAACATGATTAACAAATTAATAAATGAAGTTATTATTTTAATAAATATCTGATCCATTTATGATCTTATCAAATATTAAATTCTTTCAGGGGTTTTTTATTGATATTTTCCCATTTCATCCCTTCCTCTTTCTGAAAAGAATATCCTCTTTATGTCGAAAACATGGTTTAGAAACCTCAAAAATGAGTTTCCAAGCATGCTTAATCTGATATAATTCAAATAGTGAATGGCACTATTCCAAGCTTATTGAAAGCATAAAGTGATACGCATGATAATAAACGCGGCAGTCATTAATATGTAGATTTACCAGTGAAGATGAAATCAAAAGAAGTGAGCAAGATTTAGTGAAAAAGTGGGGAAAAAATTGAACACAGAATTAGAAGGACGGAAAAACTTGAGGGGTCGAGGTCAGGCTCAGGCATGCCTATTAGTCTGTACTGCAAAACAGCCCAAAATTCAGACATATCTCAGAGTGCTTAATCATTATGGTTTATGGCCACCTCTTCAATATGTCAGAATCATAATATTGCACCTCTCTCTGAATCCTATGCTTATACGTATCCTTTTCTTTATATCTGACAAAGCATTTTCTGATGCCTCTTGCCAATATATACGGTACCCTCCTTCAGATAAAGCTTGCCCACAAAGCTTTTCCAGATATACCAAAACAATGATTACAATGCTTTCTGATGCATATGAGAAGATCATGGTCACAAATATACATGAGAGATTAACAGTTGATGGTTTATTGAGAGTACAAGTTCTTTTCCTTAGACAAGTAAATAAGAATATTCATAACAAGACCAATAAGCTGATTTGGAAAGAGTTTGGAATTAACGTACCATTGTGGATGTGAAATAGTTTATCAATTTGCCAGAACTTTGAAGGTAACCTGACAGTTTCAAGTAATAACGTATACGATGTGCCCAAAGATGATGTCCCCCTGCTTGAATCCCTCACTTCTTTACTCAAATAATTTATTATTGTTGTTGTTGTTAAAGTTATGAGTCTGCTGATCTGTGCAAGTCCCACCCACGTGATCGATTTGTATTGAGTAAATAAAATATCCAATATCAAAAGAAAATATAGGACATGACAGAGTGATAAAAGGGTCTTTCATCTTCGAAAACCCCATTAAGTAAAGCTAAAAAGCTTTGATTTAACGTCAAAAAGAGGGAAGGATATGCCCTACATGCTGCTCTTAACCTGGAAGATGGAACCAAAAGCAATCCAAAGACGTTGCTTCTAATCTTTTACATACATATATATTATATATATAGAACACACACACACTCTGGAACATGGAACCAAAGGATATATACCCTACAAGAGGGTTGATTGAAGAGAAAATTCCCATTCTGATGCCTGCCATCAAGTGTATATATATTTAAGTGTAGCATTGTTAAAGTAGTTTGTCTTCTTTTCCATTTTTTAACAAATAATATAAGTTTGATGAATTACTAACTCAAACATTTGACTTACCTTGTTTTCTTCGTAACTTCCAAAAATCACGACAAAATTAATTTATAATTTTCTTAAATTTTTAAGATAACCTCCTTAAAATTTAATGATAAATCCTATCAAACATAACAATAATTTTAGTATAAATTGAAGTAGATTTTTCATGATTTGTTCATCTAAATTATTTTCCAACAAGAAAGTTACAATGCTTTGCTTGCAGCGTCCCTTGGTCAATCAATTACTTTTCTCTCTCTGTTCACTTCGTGCTCATTTTGAACTCCCAAGCCCCAACTCTTCTTTACACACACACGTACGTTATATTAGCTTTCACACACTGCTCACAACTCGGTGTTCTTCAGCTTCTCTTTTCCTAGCTTGGAAATGGAGGCTGCAGCCAAGTCTGCATCTGCAAAACAGCTAAAAGAACACCTCCAACACCAACAAGAACCTTTTTCGCTCCATAATTACCTCTCAGAAAGAAGATTCTTTATCAAGAATTTCAGCTCCGATGATATTGACGACCATCACCACCTTCCTTCAGAGAAAACCCTAAAATGGAGGATCACTTATGAAAAGCACAAGATCAAAGAAAGGTTCTTTCATGCTTCCTCCATCCTCAGGTCTCTACTTCACAAGTTCGTCCCATTTGGTGATCATCATCATCATCAGAATCAGAAGCTCTCAAACTGGGTTGGCATTAATAACAATGCAGCTTCTGATGATCGTTTCACCAATCAAGATGCTGAAGGCGAGGGTTTTATTTGCCATGATTACAGTCCAAAGCTTGTCAACATGTTTCCATCTTTCACACTCCCCGAATTGAGACGACTTCAGGTACTTAACCAATTCTTATTCTTCTATGTAAACAATAACTCATAAATAAATAAATAAATAAATAAATAAATATATATATATATATATATGTAGTTAACTTCATGTTACCAACTTTTTCAAGTTTTTACTTAGCTCCAAAACGACATCATTAGTATGTGTAAGTCCTAGATTTGATGGATTAGAGCAAGAATGCTTTTTGCAGGGAAATTTAATTTCAATTTTATGAAGTAGAAGCTTATGGACTTATAATTTTAAATATGCGACGTCAAGTTATTGTTGAGAGTTTCTGAGGAAAGTTGCTTGGGATATATATCATCGGTATTAATAATTAATTATTATATTGATTTGTAAATTCAATGTAATACATTATGATTAGCAAGCTAACCGATTAAGCTAACAGATGGATTCAGGTGCAAAACCTCATTGGATAAGCACTGTAGAGAAGCAATGGGAACAATCCTTAGCTAATTCAGGTTCGGCTTTCTTATCTGTAATTCTCAATTGAAACAAATAACTTATAACTAGATTGTTGATCTCATTCATTCATCACGCGATTATGAGATAAATTGTACTGTTATACATGAATATGAATTCATAGCAGGTTTAGATTATAAATGGAGAAATTTCACTATTTTTATTTGTATCAGCAACGTTAACATTTTGCATATTATAATTGTGTTTAGCATCTGACAATAAATATTTAAATTGAAAGGTTTTGATATGAACCTTTATACATGACTATTTTTAATAAGATAATTAAAACAGTTAAATAATTTAACATCTTTTTTAGGAAAAAAATCGTTATGAAACAAAATTAGTTTTCTAAATTATTAAGAATGTTAAAAAGCATACCAGATAATGCATTCAAAATAAGTACATTAGAAACAAGTTCAAGTTGCATTATTTTCTTGTTATACGGAACAGAGTGTGAATTCAAAAGTGATGAAGGGGCGGCAGGGACAGCCATTTACACATTGTCCCAGAAATCTGAGGAACCATTCTTCTCAACTCATCTTCCAAAGCTACTCCTAAACCCAAATATTCTGAAATTCAGACGGCCAAAAAAAGACAAACACCACAACGTTGTTCATAGAAGGAAAAGGACACAGCAGGTACTGTTTGGAAGGGCAGAAAAAGGCAGAGAATTCCAAGAAAATGGAGGGAAAAGAGGAAAAATTTGGTTGCTGGAGAAACGATGTAGAGATAGAGAGGCTCAGAAAATCGCCCACTTGTTGAATGCAGAATCCTGCGTGGTATCAGAAGGGTGGACAAATTTCCACAGACCAAGTAGAGACATTCACTTTGAGATTGGAGATGCTATCATGGATGACATTGTCAACGAAATGCTTCATATACTTGTACATTAATCAGACTCTGCTCTGATAGAGGACACTGGCTTTACTTTGCTTGTTTTTGAAGGATCAGGGCAATTAATCATTTGTGAATAGCATAATTTTATATAAATTCTATATTTTTTTTTTTAGTGACATTGAAATATTAAAATAAATGAGATTGATGTCCATGATACTCATTTCAGAGTTTCGCAGTGAGAACAGCGATTTTTATAAAAGCAAAAAATGCAGAGCATGTTTGACAACTTGTTCTAAGGAGAGTTTTATATTTTCTAAAACAAAATATATATATATATATATATATATTTGGGAACATATTTTTAGAAAATATTTTGAAAAATATAAAAAACTAAATATTATTCTGGAAGATAAAAAAAAAATGTAATATACTTTAAGTACTCTAGGATTATCATCTGAAGAACAAAAAAATGTGTGAAAAACAGTATATTATTTTTTTATTTTTAAAACATGTTTTATAAAACATCAATTCTGAAAATAATAAAACAAAACAAGCCCTTAAACACCCTCCCTTGAATCGTTGGGGAATACGATCTTTTTCAGGGGAAAGTTTAAAATTTTTTGTTGTGGTTTGTAAGGTTGAAGTAAAGTAACGATACTTAATATTTGTTGGGGGAATGTCAAAAGACCCCATTTGGCTTGGCATTTCTGAAGAAAGACGAACATGAAAGCAGTATTTCTTCACTGTGTTGTACTTTTATAGAAGAATGACAGTAAAATATCCCGAAAGATAAAAATAACAATTAGGTGCTATGAAATATGATAATTATTTTCTAATCCTTGAGAATTTGTCTGTTAGTATTAAGTTTTAGTTAGTATTAATATAAAAAAAAAAATTTACCTTTCCAGAAAAAAATTGCATAAAACAATTTGTGATTTATGACTGCACTCTAGCCATTTCCCCATGAAAAATAATTATTGTCCAAATAAAAAAATAGCACTGATTTTTAATTCTCATACTTCAATAATAAACAAATTTGCACAAAGTAACTAATAATTCAATATTCTGTTCTAAACACTTCCTCAAGAAAACTAATTATTTCTCCGGAGAAAAAAGAAGAAGTAACTAATTTTTAGTTACTCCCTTATTTTACATTTTAAAACAAGGGAAAATATATCATTTTAGAAAAAGTCAGACAAATCTCCAAGAACTAAAAAATAATTATCCCATTTCATGGAACTTAATTGTCATCTGCATATTTCATGGTTATTTTTCCATCATTTTCCTTACTTTTATTGTCATTAATGCCTAATTCTATTCTTCATTCATAAACATGATTTATCATTCATAAAATTATTTTTTTAATTTTTTATTTGCTAGCACTGGCAGCGATGACAATTCCTCAATCAGGATGATGTGAATGCGCACATAATCAACATTTTCAACGCCTGAGTGAATGATAATCTGAAAGCTAATCAGAATATAATATCAAACTACTTGCTCTAATTCCTACATAGCACCGCTAAAGTTCAGTACTGAACTACATAAGAGCCTGTTATAAAAAGTAAATAAAAAAAGAACTACGTCACCAACCTGAATCCAAGCTTCACATGACAGTAAAATCAATTTAGCTGTTGGTCTTTCTTCAGGTACAGCCAGGTCTAATATACGTAAAAACACAAAAACATGCTTAGTATAAAACTCTCACTCTTACAGGCTTATATGTAGATTTACGATTGATTTAGCTTACAATCTTTCACGAAACTTGAATCTATCTGAAAATCTCGAGATGACATTGTGATGAGGACCAAATTCAGACATGAGTCTAGGTGTTAGCCACTGAGAGATACAATCTAACCTAGTCAGTGAGGTTCATATACCATGGCCATGAAGGTACACGGCGTCAAATCTTATTACAATATTAACATACAAAAAAAGGGCACTGACATCAAAGAACATGCTGATACATGCTAGTTGCCATGCGAGCAGGGAGCTGAGACTTACCTCCTAGTCGAATTCTCTGACTAAAACAGAAATAAAATGGCAATTCTCTGATGTTCTAATATTTGGAATACATGAGATTGAGCAATACAGAGGGTAAGTGGATGACCATATTACTACCATCTTTCTCCATCATCACCAAACTCCCCGTCTTCAAGCTCTCCATAATCACAATCTCTGTGAGAACTACTACGGTGGTCTTTCTTGTGTTTTTTGTGTCGCACTTCACTGTCTGATTCTTGACCAGATGCATGCTGATCCATTCATCCCAAGAAAGTTAAAAAAAAAAATTAAAAAGTGAATAAAATCTCACTTGTTTATGATACTGCAACTAGTAAATTTGCATACCCGTGATGATTTCTTGCGATCGCTGCTATGTCCTCGAGATTTTTTAGTCCTCTCTTTGTCAGTTTCATGAGAAACGTGCTCAGGACTTTGGTGCTGCTTTCGTTGTTTCCTACTATCATCTTCAGATCTTTTGGTTTCTTTGGAAGATTGAATTTCAGTTGTATCCATATTGTCACTATCAGCTTTATCCCTCTTATGACCCTCCTCTTTCTCTTTTTCCCTTCTTTGCTTTCCTTTCCTTTTTTCCCTGTCCTCTCTCTCCTTCTCCTTTTTTGCCTGCTGTAAACAAGACATCAGAACTCAATAGCTGTACATTCGGGGATTATTCTAAGAAATTTCTTGCATGCATACAACTTATGCCAGGTAAAAATTTGGCCCTTGAATTGGTTCAATGGTTATAAGTAAAGGGAAACCTGATAAATTGGCCAACCAAGGCAAAGGTGAAAATTGATTCCCTAACTGTGGAGAACAAGTTATCGGGCTGGTTTATATTGTTTCTCCGGGGGACAAAAAGTAAAATATATATATATATTAAACTTGCATTCCCTCCAGTCCTGATAGTTAACTAATTCACATAAATTAAGAAAATTAGGTAAGTTAAATACATGCAAAAAAATGTGTGCTGATTTTTCTAAAGCACTCATTCTTTTACTAATTTACATTGGAATATTATCTACACATAGGTCCCGTTTGGTTACTAGAAATGAATGAATTGAAAAATAAAGCTAAAAATGAAATGATCAAAAGAAATGGAGAACCACATTCATAAGTAGAGCCGGGAATTCGGGCGGGCTGGGCTTATTCGGCTCTGCCCGAATAGGCCCGGCCCAAATAAGCCCGAACCTGAACAGGCCCAACTCCTCGAAAAGCCCGAATAGCCAAGCCCGGCCCAATTCCTTTGGGCTTCGGGCTGCCCGAATACCCGAATTTAATTTTTAAAATTATTTTTAATTATTTTTTTACTTTGAAATTAATTATTTTATTTTATAAAAAATATAAAATATATTTTTTAAATACTTAAATGATGTCTAGGACTCAAATATATGGTATTTTAGTATAAAATGATCTAAAACTTAAAGAATTAATTAATATTTATTATATTATATATATTTTTTAAAAATATAAATTTTTTATTCGGGTATTCGCCGATCGGGCTTGGCTCGAATAGGCCCAAACATAAAAAAACACCTTTTTTTCTAAGCCCGGCCCTAAAATTTTTCGGGTCAATTCGGGCTAGCCCGTCGGGCTTGGCCCGAATTACCGGCTTTATTCATAAGTGAAAGGGGCAATTTAGTTTATGCGGTTGGAAATCATAATTCATGAAATTTTTAAAAGATGTGATAATTCTCACATTTACAGTATATATTAATAAGTTTTATCATGAGTACCATGAGGGGGAAGGGTGATTTAGTTCATTTTTGTATTGATTTTCTCAATCCATTCCATTCCTTTCTAACAACCAAACGGAACCATAATTTATACATCATGCAAGAATCTAACTATAGGGGTATTTGGGTAAAACATGATAAATATGGGAGACAAGAAGATTGAATTCTTACATTTATAATCAAAATAAATTCTCAACTAGTTTCTCAATTTAGGAGCGGAAGGAGTAATCTATTGAGTTAATAAATTATTGGGACTGAATTGTTCTGAGTTAGAAAACTATGAAGACTGGCTTGTTTTGAGTAAAAAACCTACACGATTGAATTGTTTTGAGTCAAGTCAGGAATTGAATCAATCACTAAGGAAAAGTTTAAGGACCAAAAAGTGATATTTTCATAAAAGTAAACTAATATGAATTTCCTCAGAAATAGTCAACCAATAGATTGAACAAGGAGTATGAATTCAGTTTCAAGCAACAGTTAACCGTTCCATTTAAATATACACTCGACTGTTAGCTATGGTTTATAATTTTGATGCTTCTTCATTATTAATTGCAACTTCCAAATCCAAAGCTCAAATTTTGGACGAAGAGATGATCAAATTAGTTATCGTGCATGCGGTCGATATTTTAATGATTCTTGAGGATGCATTTGAAAAAGAAGATAAATATTCCACAGATATATTTGAATGCACTTGCATGAAAAATTTCACCAAACAACAGTAATAATATTAACAATAATGATAATGATGATAAATAATACTAGACACAATGGGAACAATTCATACCTTTTCCTCTTTCCGCTTTCGCTCACTCTCCTTTGCCTCCTCTTTCAGCTGTGCAAGGTACTCCTCAAATATTTCCTTGCAGTAGGTCTCATCTCCTATTGATCTAAACAAAGCAAATACACCCAAGGAAAATAAATAAATATATCATTTATTAACTTTTATCACCAAATAATAATAATAATTGGTATCACTTTCTAGAATGCGTAAAGAATGTATACTAATCACAAATTGGATACATCTCTGTCAGAACTGCGTATGTTCTAAATTGGAACTATCCACATCCAGCTTAAGATATGAGCACAACTATTTATATGAAAACCCAATCATTCACTGACACATCTCTGAGAGATTCACTAGGCCAGCAAATAATGTCTGACGGCTCCAAGTCTAAAAGTCCGACAAGAAAGAAATGACAACTCCTTTTCACATAACATTTAAGGATTATGCTCATTCAGACCTGAACTCTTGACAATCTTCAATAAGTGATCTGAAGTCCTCCCACTTTGAAGACGCGTTAATATCCTGCAAGGAAGAAAGCATTACAATAGTATAAATATGATTTCGTACTGCCCAACTATCAGAACATAGCAGCACCTATAAGTTGAGGTCCATAATACCGCACCTTGATAGAATAAAGCAAATGAAAGAAATCATCCGCGAGACGCTTCCTCTTCTTAGCTTCTTTCTCCTCCTTCTCTCTTGCCCGTTCTAGTAGCTCATCAAATACTAGCTGCAAGATGATACAGCATCAAATCAGATCATTTTGGGTTGAAAGACACACCAAAAGAAAAGCATATTCTTAACCAGTGTAACTTGTATTGAGTCACATTCACCAGAGTGTGGGCATGCCACCCATCCAAATTTATGCTGTAATTACTTCACATTCACCAGATCATTGTGAGTTGTAATTACAATCTCTCTCCAAGAGAAGGAGGGGCAACCAAGAAAAAAAAAAAAAGCCATTTGGTTTGAAAGGCAAAATGTTTGGACACCAAATTCCCAAGCCCCCTTCATTCTTATGTCTGCAACAAACTTACCGACTATATAGATCAGTTTTTGCTATTACCGTAGTAATAAAAGTTAGAGATGTTAAACATATATTAGAAAAATGGAGTTTTTGCCATTACTGTACAGCTGTTGAAAATAACGTTTAAGATTATCCAAGATATAAAGTTAGATTTGAAAAATATGCATGGCCAAAAAATTGTGAACATATATTCGGTGTCCACAATAGTAATAAACAGAACATTCAAGAATGAATATGAGTATAAAAGAAGTTGCAAAAGAAAAGTCGACGGCAATGAGCATTGTAATAATTTAAAAAAAAAAAGAAACTTGCAATAAGCATCCATTACAAACAAAAATAAACACTAGATAGTGTAATACCAGAATATACACAGACAACACAGGCACACACAAAGAAAATAAATAGATACACACATGGGCACTGGAAGAAAGTAACTACCTTTATGTTAACATCAGATATGGGTGGAGAACTAATATCTTTTAGTATGGTTGTTTTAAAGTCTTCTACTGTCCAGGTTGATGACAATGTGATCTGTAATTATGATACCACAGTATACATCAGGTTCAGTAGGATCAGAAGCGATAGAAGATTAAGACACCATACCTTCCCCAACTTCACTGCATCTTTTACACGAGTCTTGTCTTCATGATACTGTAAGATATAACAAGGCAGATTGGCATTTAGCAAGTCATACTATAGATAAATTAAAGGATGCTAGCATATCTGACAACTGACATGTGTCCAACATTAAAATTGCCATGGCACATTTATTTCCAAACATGTTAGCATGTCAAAAACCAACATTTGCCCAACATGTTAACGTGTTTGACATCCATACAAATGTCAGCATAAAAGGTGGGGAGTCAACTGAGAACCCATTTCAGAAACAGCTTAAGTGTATAATTATGTAAGGTTTTCGATCTGATTTGGAACCCTCATTAAGAAAAAAATGCGGTGAATTGATGATTTAGCAGTAGATTGTACTCTTTTGGTTAGTATAATGTGCAACCCAAGTTGTGAAGACCAGCAAGCAGAATGCTAAAAGAGCAGCTCACAGGAAGTAGGTAAAGGCTGTTTCATCTGTTAGGTGAAGTGATCAAGGTGGCTGCTGAAAGAATGTAAAGGATGAGAGGGCATGCGAAGCAGAATAAGCTGTTCTAGAGCTATTTGTCAACTGAGAACATCTTTAGAGAGAGTATTAATTGCTGAAGATTTTGGATGCAATTGCTGAGGTGACCTTGTAAGTCACAATGCTTTGTTCGGGCAATCATCTGAGTTGTGGGGTTTTATCTAGGTTTTATAGGGCCCCAAGATTTTCTTTATTTTAGTGAGGTTTTGTCTGAAACAAGATGAAGTTTGGATAGTCTTCTAGTTGAGGGAGAGTGTTGAACAGTGTTTCACAACTAGATTAAAACAAGTGCCAGGAATGAGAGTGCATGGATTTATACTATATGTATAGCTCTTCATAATTGCCTAATTTACAATTTACAATGAACACGCAAGCTTAGTCAGTGAATTTGATTAAATCCTGTCAAATAACAACCAACAGCACTTTAACCACCAAAATATATATAAATATATCAGCACAGTGAATACAGAGACGTTTAGTTAATGGTAATGAAAAATCGGCCACTTCACTGAACAACGGAGAATGTTAGCCTGAGATTCATACAATTCAACTTCCAACTAACACACAAAACACGCATAACAAAGGACATGTCACCAAAATAACAGTTCTTCTACTTCAGGGGAAAAGTTTACCAAAATATAAATAGACACCAGATGCTTGAGCCCACAACAGGCCCAAAAGGTATGAAGCTTAATCAATGGGCAACAATTTCATGCAAAAATCTACAAGCCTGTCCAGGAGACTTGTCATTTGGCATTTGGAATACAAGCTTTCTAATGATACCATAGAAAAAAGTTCAAAATCAAGTAGAAGGAAAACTTAGTGCACGTACTTGTTTTTCAAGCTCTTCAGAAACATCTTCAAACAAGTCTTTTGGAGTTGAACCTGAGGTGTTTGAAGCCACAGCCACATAAGCAGGTAAATCTTTGACCTACAAGACCACCCAACACAAAATCATCATTCCAGTCCTCCAATTAAATAGAGCAAGGGAACAGATCAGCAAAGAAGAAACAAGGGTGTAATAACTTTTTGCAACACAACAGTATTTTTATTATTTTTCTAATTTTATAATAGGAAAATAAAAAAGCATAAGATGATATATGGTCATAAAGATGGGCAGTTAACCTTCACGTAATAATCACGCCAGTGAGTTTTTGCTGTGAGAGTGCCCATGGCAATATCTTCTTCCATCAATTTGCGGAACTCATCACGGTTTCTACGTTCTGCCTTTCTCAATTCTTCCTATTTTATTGATAAGTGGAATGAGCAAAACTGTGCAAGAAAAAGGATGGAAAGGGAAAATCCAACTTAATACCAAAAAAGTTAAGTGGAGAACCTTATGTATCTTCTTCTGCTCTTCCTCTTCCTTCTCTAAGTCATGTAAATAGTCCTGAAAGACAAGATATAAATTAATTTGACTCTCAAATTTAACAATCCATGAGTTTAGCTTAGAGAATTACTTGAAATATTTCTAAGCGATCAATTTTCTCAAGACGGAAACATCTTTCATCAGCCTCTAAGCGGTCTTGAACTTTTCGCCACTGAGTGCTAGCCTGTGGAGGTGATAGAGTGATAGATCAACATTACTTTGGCATAGAAAACCTCCAGAAATCAAATGAGACCTAAACAAAACAATACCTTAATAAAGTCACAAGCTTCTAAAAACTTCCTGTATTCCAATATGTTTCGCTTCCGCTCCTCCTGTGCCTTTGCTCGTTCCTAAGCAAAATCGTACAATTTAATAACCTCCAAGAAAATTACATTATTAAGTTGCTCAAGGAAAGAGAACATCAGTCATGTTCCTCATTTCTTATTGATCATGCTAGCTGACTCCTATATTGGTAAAACAGAATCACACAATTTAAGGGAAGAAACTATGATTCATAAGTAATTTTTATATTCTGATGGAGATTTGGTAGTATATGATATCAAGTCCAATATTCAGTATTATGGAATACTCAATGGAGTGTTTAAGTGGGTTGGTTCTCCAACCTCTTTTGGGATAGGTTCCCCATCCCACTTAAGTGCCCATCAATTAGTATCAGAGTCTCGTCGGCAATTCTAGAGAGGGCAACCCACAAAGGGTTCTTCTGAAAGGAGGCCAAATTAGGTGACATGAAGTGCAACCATCAAGGCGCCAACTTTCCATGAGGGACCAATTGATAGAAGCTTGGTAGTATGGGATACCAAGTCCCACATAAGTAGTATGGGATGCTCAATGGGGTATTTAAGTGAGTAAGTTTCCCCACCTCAACTGCTAGCTTTTGAGGCAGGATTCCTCATCTCACTTAGATGCCCATCATATTCAGAAGCCAATATAAATAGTTTCAAATAATCTTTTAAATCAAACAATTGGGCAAGTGAGACTATGAGCACACTTAGGCTACATAAGAGCATCGGATGACTCTTACACAACCCAGAAAGCATCAATAATTAAGAGTTTGTCGTCCACAAATAGAAGCCCTGAAATTGTTCCCTGCACTCTACATTTCAAAAGCTTTGGTTTTTATGTAATTAATCTCCCCTGCAGCTCAGAGAATTTAATGACAAACAAAACTCCAGCAACTTGTCATTCTTGTGTTAGGACATAATACGACCACACTTTGATGCTCCAGAAACATCCAATATAAATAATAACCCACAAGACAACCACAATGATTCTGATGATGGACCTCTGCCTCAAAATTTACAATGAAATAATGTGCTAAAATATATTTGTGGTGTTACCATCATATATTGGATAGGGTTTAGGTTCTCCGACTGATGTGTCAACCATCAACTTTCTCGTTCGAACAAAGCTCTTACAACCATCAAATTTATTGTAAATTATAACAATTTTCAGTAAAAAAAAAATAATGTCCAGGGTTCATATTCCATATATCGTTCAGAACTAAAAAGAAAATGGTATTGAAAGTACAAATTCATTCTAGATAATAAGGGGAAATCATAAATAGGCTAACTTTTTTAACTCATCAGTGAATAATGAAGAAAACATGTCTGACACACAATTAGATTCACCATGGGAGAGAAAGGAGGGAGCACAGGTACACTGCCCACAGCATGCACTTATATTATGCAATAAATGATAACAAGATTAAGGAACTAGATCCCACCTTGTTTACAAGTTCCTCCATGAAACTGTCAAACAGATCCCTTCTGTCTCTGTCGCGTTCCACAGCCTTGAAACGGTCATCATTTTCAAACAGAGATACTGCTTTGCTGAGTGATTATCAAAAAATTAAATTGAAGAGAAAAATTATCACTAATATAACCACCATGTGTTAAAAAAAAAATATCAAACAGAGTTTTTAAGTTAGAAAGGAAAGGAAAGGGTGGAAAATCGCATATCATGAATTAAGCTAAGAATTAAAAAAATAAAACAAAGAAACCTCCATCTTGTGGATGATGTCAACTCTGTGGATTCCTGGAAAAGTTAAAGCATAAAAGAAAATAGTAAAATCAGAGGAAGCTATATATAGCATAATTCAGAAAAAAACAAGGTAGAAGATAAAACATACTTCTAACATTTTCTTGAAATCCTCCCGTGCCTTTTTCAGTTTCATGCGCTTTTCCTCAGCTTCCTGCTTTTTCTTCTGATTTAGGAACTAAGAAATAAAAAATTGCTTTTGTGAACATTTTAGTCAAAGTAACTAAGAAATAAAAAATTGCTTTTGTGAACATTTTAGTCAAATTGAATTGTTGATTCTGCTGGCAAGAAAAAATGTTGATTTAGCAGTTGTATAAAGGCAATCAGCAATTATGAAGCAGAATGATTAGTTTCCAGTCTCCATCATTAACCCTTCCAGTGACAAACAATTTTAGCACTGTACTATGTCTAAACAACTTTATTAGCATCCAAATTACAATTTGATTTCAGTCAGACCTCTTTTACAGTAACCATTTACCTTAATTACTACACAATCAACTCTTACCAGCAAAAGTAATTCAAAAGGTTAGACGGGCAAATATCTAGCTACAATCTAACTCTTACGAGCAAAAATAATTCATAAGGTTACATGGGCAAATATTTAGCTACATTTTTTCCTTCTGCACTATACAGCTGCCTAACAATAATAAAAATTTTCAAACAACAACAAAAGAGAACAAATATTGACACTCATTCAGACCACTTGTCAATTGAATAAATAACCAAGTCTTACCATTAGAGAAAGCAAAGCTAAGGCAATGTAAAAGAAAAAAATTAAAAGAAATTCTAGAGAAAGCAAAGCTAAGGCAATGTAAAAGAAATTCTAATCAGTCAATTTCACATAAGAGGAAGTAGAAGTAGTACACCAAAGTAGAATAAGAGTACTCTCCATAGTTTCTTTAGAGATAGCTCTTATCATCTTACAACGGCAGAACTTCTTTAACCGGAGAAGAAAAACAAAGGAAACAACCCCAGTAAATGTATTATGACTCCAACATTACATCAATTATCCACCTGAAGGATTACCTCATTAAAAACTTGCTTCCGCTCTCCGAGTGATTTTAAGGCACCATACCTTTTGTCATTGATTATTACTCTCATGGCCTAGAACAAGGATAAATCAGTGGCAAGAAAATCAAATGAACAAGCAAAAATTTAACAGCAGAAAGAATAGAAAAATTAGTAAGTGACGGTATATTATATCAATGAGACTGCTGTACCCGATCCCAAGTCCAGTCAGATCCAACATTTGCAGACTCCAAAAGTGCTTTAAAAACATTTTTAGCCTCCTAATAAGGAAAGGAATTATGTTGAGCAGTCAAAGTTCAGGAAACCAACATGAGAAAGAGAGAGAACCAAAATATTGAATTTTACTTTCATACCATCTTATTGGCATACACTAAAGGTTCAGGCTCAACGGCTTTTGTTTCCAAAGCAACCTCATTTGTTTTCTCTCCCGGCGTGTCTTTCTTAGCGTCCTACAAAATTTTAAATAAATCAGATTGCTAACTAGCACATGAAGAATTCATCAGATGCACTTCAAACAACAATGATAAAGGCGTACTTCCTTATCCTCTGCTGGAACCCCATCAGCAGAAACTAGAGTATCTTGAGATGAAACATTCTCCGCATCCTTCCTACAATATTTACCAGAAAAAGAAATTAAAATGATCACCAGGAAAACAAAATGAAATTGAGGCCTGAAAAATAAGTGTGATAAATGATACATTGGTGTTCTAGAAGTATTGACATCAGCAACAGATGTTTCATCCATGTTAGAATCTGATGGCGTGACAGTGTTTGCAGGTGCCTCAACTTCATCCACATTTGTTCTGTTCATAGGAGCCACAGCAGGAGAGGCAGATGATCCAGCAGTCATCTCAGAATGAAGATTACTGGAAGACATTGTAACAACAGGAGCAACTGAAATGGGACTTGATGGTTCTCCTTGACCAGTTAAAGATGAATTATCAATTGATGTTGCTTCAACTGCAGTGGGAGATTTTGAATGTTGAGTGTGAGAATTCAGAACGGGTTCCATTCCATTGACAATGACCTTTCCAATTTGTTCACGGGCCAACTTCAAGCATAAAATTTGCAAAAAAGAAGCATGAGTCACAAAAATAAGATGCAGAAATTGATAGAACAGTCAAACATGATATTGTTTTCAAGGGAGGAAACCTTCAGTTCTTCAGGGATGATCCATTTTGATTCCTTGGTGACTTTGTTGTAGTAATACCTATAGAGCATTCACAAAAAATAAAGTTAGCAACAAACTTCATAAAACAGAAACCTAAATGACTCAAAAAAAAAAAAACAGCACGCACTTTCTTCCATCAGGACTACTATACTCTTTCCAGTTGGTTGATGCATCCGCCCTCTGACAGGATGACAAGAATCAAATAAGTAGAGGAGAATGTAAACATTACTAGAGAAATCCTTCCAAAGAAACACAATTAAAAAAAAAATGTTCACATCTCATAAAATTTTCCTTAAAGCAAGAATGTGAAACAGAGAACATCAAGTTCAGGGAATTATGACAGAAGCTTAAGAGGTGATCAACATGACAAGACAACTCACGTGACAAAGAAACCAAGCCTATCTAATTTCCATCCTTCCATTTTCCTCATTCCAAGTAAGAAGTGTAGAAATGATTTTTTGAAATTGTATTCTCCATTGCTCCGGACCCTTTGACTTCAGAATTCTAAGTTTCGGGGAGGGCAAAAACCTACCGACTAATTAAAGAAATCAGCCATCTTAAGGCGCAGAAACTCCAGGAATTATTGCATTCAGAATGGCTTCTCAACTGGTATTTATGATAATAAATTTCTCTATTTAGGAGAGACAATGAACAAAATTGATAGTAATTGTTTGAAGCTATTTTTTGTGCAATCAGCTCCCACATTGTGATATTATTTCCCCTCCTCCTTGGCAATCTTAGCATAATAGCCAAATGAATCAAACCATTTCACTAGCATCCTATCAAGCAACTTGTTACCCACAATACTTTCCACATATCAGAATGGTGCATAAGTAGGTAACTAGGTGGTGGTTTAGTACTGGCAGACACATCTGCTTCTTAGGTGTATCAATATAACTTAAACCAAAGTCCATAAGTATCTCCTGTAAACTACATTCACATGCATTATTTATCATATACGAATTCTATTATCCTAATACCAGACATACACTTCACAAAATTAAAGTGAACACAGCAAAAATGTAAGGCAATACAATAGATTGCCACTGTCAGAAAACACAGCTTTTAAGGCGCAAACACAGCATACCCAAAAGATAAAAACTAAAATATCTTTATGATAAATAAAAACATATGGCAAAACTTATAGAGGAGAAAACACAACAAGGGCACCCAATTTAAATCTAGCCATAAGAAAGATATATGAAACTGGTGACTCGTTAAGAATATCAAGATTAACAAACTATCATCCTGATTTATAAGTCACGAGAAAATTTTAGACCAAAAAAATTAACAATCAAGATGGTAATACAATGATAGAATTTACTGACATTCAAGCAACATAGTAGGGAGAGCAAGCAGCAAAGACCCACAGCATATCCTACCTCTCAATAGAGTAGCACGGCAGGTACCTGTAAGCATCTTTAGAGCTATGGACATCACGTGTAGATTTGGATAAATCATACAAAAGAAATGAATTTCCAGAGGCATTAAAAAGACCATCAGCTTTGAAATGCTGGGAATGGTACGCATGACATCATATGCTCAAATTCTTTGCCAAAACAAACCTCCTAGGCCATTTATCTCAAGGCACAAGAATAAGGATTGAGAGATGTATGTCATTGAAAATTGCCCAAGAATTTGATTGAAACACATTTCTCATGATTAAAAATTAATCATAAACAGATGTCTACCATCGGAGCTATCTAATGATTTTACACATACAATTTGTGATACTGACATATGATGTGCCAATACTTCAACAAGACATAATATCGTGTCCAATATGTATCCATGACTTGTATCAAATACAACACAACACTTAAAATTGCAGTTAAACACTTCATATTTATCAAGTTAGCATCCATAGCATCATGTTACATCTCCCTATTAATATTTTTGCTTCTTAGGTATTGACAACATTTGAAACCGTTCATCAAAATGGAAGATAGCATTCAACTTATGTAGAAATCACACTTCAGAAAGAAAGAAACCAATCACAATAGAAGAAATAAAAGGAGACCAAATTATTTTCATAAATATAAACCTAAACAAGGAAAATTGATCATTCTATATAATGTGTAAATGCAAACACAGGAGAAAAGTCAATATTTTTTAAATATAAAAAACCCCTACCAATAAAGCAAAAAGGAATGAAAACACAAAACGCAAAAAGATTTATTATTAAGAAATGCACCAACTATCTTCCCCCATTCTTTCTGCCTATTAAACAAAACTATATCTGAGATCAAAAGAACCATTGTATGAAATAGAAAATTCTTCAACAGCATCATCCATGAAAAAGGAAAGCAATCTAATATCAGACAGCCCACCCCTCAATTGTCACGACACTGACCTCACATTAAGATGTAAAACTCAATTGATGGTTGCCTGCCTGAGAGAAAACCCGAGCCGTAATGAGCGAGCTAATAGAGCAGACTATTTTCACCACACTTGGACAAAAAGGAAGCATATAACAATGAAACTAGAATATGTTCAGCCCAATTATTAACATTGTTTTGAACCAAAACAGATATGTACTTGCTCTGACCTTGGAATAACAAATAAACCCAGTGGTATAACTAACAAATCATTAAACAACATAAAAAGAAAAATCAGCTGTATGACTCACCTCAATTGGTGTCATCAATTCGAAAGGCTTCTCCCAGCTGGATACTTTAGTCTTCTTATTGTAGTAAAATCTGGAGAATCAAAGTGTAAAATTATGCAGTGAGGTGATTTATTGATAATAAAAGGCTTTGTTTGAAGGTTAAAAAGATTACAAAGTAAGGATGACAAGATACCCTCAGAGAAAAGAAAGTACAGGAAAATATAACTGCTAGACACAGATCACAAAACAAACATCACAATCATATGTAAGCACTATAGGTAACATAAAGCAGGAGAGGAAATTTTGGGGATCCATGTTTGATATATAATTGAGTATTTCCCTTTCTCAGACAATTCAATAAATTACTCCCTCCATCCCAAATTATAAGATTTAATTGTTCCAAAATATAAGACAGTTTGACAAAAATAAGATTTCATTAATTATACTTTTCCAATATTACCCTTCAAGTGGAGAGAGAATTGAAATGAATATAGTGTAATGATTAAGTGTATAGATTTAAAGTTATATTAAATAAAGTGCATTTTTGGAAGTTTATATTGTTTTTTTGAAAATTTTGTACAGTATTATTATTGAACTTTATTGGCATGTGTAATTTGTCTCAACAGAGGGAGTACCTTCTATTTAGTGGAGAGAAAAGTCTGGGCGGAACAAATAAGTAAGAAGAACCAGATTCACATGATTACAAAACAAGCTATGCTGATTAAACATAACGAGCTATATTGTCCCCTCATCCGACTTAAGTAGTTACACCAAATAAAGAGGAGTTCACGTTTTCAAATTCTATAAAACCCCAAAAGCTCTACCCTTTACTCAAGTTCTCAATTAAGACCAAGCAACATTCCATTGATTCATTCTTCTTTATATTTCTATTTAGATTTTCTGAATTATTTATAAAAGAAATGAAATGTGAAATTCCTGAGTAGTCTACCTCCCTTCAAATGAGAAATCCCTTTAATTCTTAGGGTTTAGGGTTTATAATAGAAATATTAGCCAAATACCCTTCTCCGCCAAATCTATACAAAGCTTCCTTATTTATAATATACCCTAATTACCCCTTCTGTCCCAACTCCTTAACTACCCTTATCCTACTTCACTAAGTACTCCTAATTCCCACACAGCATTCATGCGGACAAAATTAGCTTTTTGACTGCAGGTTGTATTATTCAACTATCATACGTAGTAGTAACCCAGGAAACATGCAAGCATTTTAATCTTTTTACCTCCTTCCATTAGCAGAAGTATGCTCAATCCAATCTGTTGATCCATCCCTCGAGGAATCTGGCAGGAAATTTGTTGCCTGAAGTTAACAAAATTTTTGGAAATAATAATCAATATGTTAACGCATATGATACATAAGCAAAGCTAAAAAATCATCATGATGGGAAAGGCAAAACTTAATTATTTAGAATAAGTAAGACACATACTGAAGGTGCAATAGTTAGAATTGATGGTTGTTCACCGCTGCTCAGAAGAGAGGTACCCGAGGCAGTGCTTATGCTTGCTCTTAGTTGCTCCCCAGAAGAAACAGTAAGAGTTTGGGTTTGACAAACAGCTTGATATTGGCTGGTGGCACTAAAATTATTTTGTACTTGACCATAAGAAGATGGTGCATACTGCATAAATTCAATCCTTCAGTCAGCATTCATATATAGAGGTCTTATCCATCACAAATACATGCCAGAACTTTACCGTATATGATGAAGAGAGGGGTAAACCAGAGCCACCTAAACCTGGAGTATAACCATTAGGGGTTTGAGAATCAGACTGAGGCACCATTGATTCAGATTGAATTGGCATATTCGCCCTAGCAACAGGCAATGACATCGGTAACTGCTGCCCAGGTCTTGGAGGCATTTGTTGAATTGATTGAACAAATTGGGGTTGCTGATTTTGAGAAGGCATTCCAACATTCATTAGGGGAACACCAGGGCCAAGAGGTGGATAATGTTGGGAAATGAACTGCTGTGATTGCTGAGCAGGAACTGCTGGGCGGAACTGTGGCAACAACCAGCAAGTAGGTTTATTAAACTAGTAACATTTTGATATGGAGTTGTTAACCATTGTAAAAAACTATGCATTACTTGAAGAGGCATGGGAGGAGCAAAATTCCGAGGGGGCTCCACTGAACCCATAATAGGAGGCCGAAGAGGCTATCACAGGAAAAAAAAAAGAATTAAACAGAAAACATAAGCTTGACATATAAGAATAAAACAGCAGATGGAACGAAAAACTGTCATCATATGAAAAAGAAAAAGTCTATTACGCATGGAAAAATTAATAAAATAGAGGAATTCAAAGCACACATCTAATTGTATGCAATATTAATAAACATAAATTATCATATAGTAATTTTACGTAATAACAAAGCTGGCCATCATGCATTGCAATAATTTGATAAATAAATAGCACTGTTCACAACATTAACAGCGCAACTTGTGACAAATTTTATATTTTATACTGATAAAATATTGATAATGATAATATCGCACGAAAAAAACAAATAAAAACTGATTAATTAAGTAGCCTGCATTGATTACCAATTCATCGCGCTTAAAAGAATTCAAACCAAAAATTCATGATATCACTAGTATAGGATAATAGAATGAGTTGCCCACCAGACTTAAATGGAATACCGCTCTTACATATATGCCAACAACAAAAACAACAAAAATAAACTAGCACATTCGGCCATGCAAAAGCCAGTTACTCATCATTGTATTAAAAGGATAGAATGGACATGCCATCATGACAGAGGGCTCTAACATAAATGTCTGCCTATATATCAAAGTCAAAAGCCTTGAATAAATAATGCTAATTGCGAAGTTTCAAAGCTTTACATTTGTTGAGCATAATGCTGCAACATCAATGAAACTCTACCAGTATAAAGGGGACAAAAAAAAGCGAAAGTAGTAAATTATTATATTCCAGGTGAAGTTTTCGAGATATCATACCTGTAAACCAGGAAATTGAGGATTATTAGACATCTGTGCTGAGCACTAGCCTTTACAAACAACTGCAATCAACACAAATGACGAGATTCTCTGTAGCCCCCAAAATAACACTGTAAAGCAGCAAGAAAAAAGAATTATGAATAATAGGAGTTGTCTGTTTTTTTTCATTTTGAACATGTTTTGTACAAATTGAGTCGTTGAGAGAATATTGAACTAGACAAGCAGAAAGAAAGTGCGCTTGGAATTAGTCAAAAAATGTAATGACGATAATAAATCAGATATACAACTCTCAAGTTCAGACAAGGCAACATCCACACAAAAAATAACATGCTTACATTGCTGCTTTTCAGATCAAGCAGAGTTCAATACCCTTACTATGTTTACGACAAAGATTGTCCGCAACTAGCACCACAATTGGAAATAAAAATCATACGTTGAAGACAGAGGTTGGTTATTGGAGACAGGCTAGAAGCAATGTATGGGCAGAAATGACCAGCAGCCGCAGGAAGTTAGCGGCTTGCTGATTACTGCATCAGCTTCCGCATGTGGGTGTCACTCCATTAGAACGAAAATGAGGAAATGAATACAGTCAACAGATATGGAAATCAAAATCACCGTACATCAAATAGTGCAACCATCACGCAGCTCCTAAAAATTATACTTCACAACTAAAAATGAACCCCTAGAAACCCTGAAATTTCAATCCTCCAAATTCTCCGGTCTAAAAAAACCTTCCAAATTCCAGATTAAAAAATAATAATTTGCACCCAGAAACGGAATGCTATGCCGAAAAAAAGCCAATCTTGACAATACTTGTTGAATATGCAAGCGGAAATTAATTAAAAAAAATCCAAAACACACGTGAGTCTCTAGTGACATGATGAGTGAAGATGCGGAGCACATACCAATGGTCCAAGAATGAAGGGAAGGAGCGTCGGATGAAAACTACGAAGGACCCGAGTCGAGTTGGGTCCGAATCCCGCGATTATTGATTTCTCTGCTGAAACCTAAGGGGAACCGATGATTGACAGACACGAAGTTAGGACTTAGGACTACGTAGTCATCTCTCCAACTAAACTAATTACCATTCTCGTGTTGCCGGGCTGAGCTGCCCTTGTGAGTTTTGAGAACCCTGCCGTTTCTGAGGTTTTTTTCTTTTTTTTCTTTTTTAAAATTACCTCATTTTGATTAATCTCCTTTTGTCTAAACTTTTCATTTAAAGAGAGTGACATACATTCATATATTACTTGTTCAACAACAAAAATGTGTGTTTCAGGTAAAACAAACAACAAAATGTGTGAATCTTTTTATTTGGACTATATGAAAAAAAAAATAGTTCATATTCATGCTAATAATGGAAGGTCAAATTATTGCAATGCAATAGTTAGATATTAGGTATTTTCCACAATCTAATCCTTCATATTTAAAGCTCTAAAGTCTAACTAACATGATTATCATTATAAATGAGACAAATTCTCAATATTGCAAATGCAAAAGGTAACAAACAAAATGCTAATAAATAAGAATGACAATTGTGATACTTTACAAAATAAAAGTGATAGGTAAAATTGAAGGAGTATATACTAATTGAACAAGCTAAATAAAATAAAATTGATAAAGACAAAAATAGTTTAAGATCTTTTAAATGCATCTATCCATCAAATTAGTTTGATTATAGCTTTCAACTTGATTAATTAAGATAAACTAAAAAGATAGTTTTCATTTCAGCTTTTCACTTGAAGAGAACCATATCATAAAAATCATTAAAAAAAATGGACAATGCTTAGACAAATTAAACTAGCTTTGAGCTACTTGTTTTTTTTTTTTACTAAGAATATCTTAACCAACCATAAAGAATAAATAACAAGGAGTATTGGGGAGCCCCCTGCTTCCCACAAAAATGTGTCTCTAGGTTAGGGAAGATGTTTTACGTTTAGGGGAAATTTGTGCAACCACGTGTACGAGTGATAGGAGAATAGGGAATGGAGAGAACATAATTTGCTAAAGGGTTGCCGCTTGGGGGAAAAATGACAAGGTGATTATTATGTCTAGTTTTAAGTATCACGTGAATACCATGAATCAAATTAAATTAGGCCTTATTTGATATGTTAAAAGAGTTTCTGATAGAATTTAAATCATAATTAAAAAAAGAATCAAAATCTAAATTAAAATAGAATTAGATTTAAAAAGTATGTTTGATATAAAGATATAATCTTAATATAATTTTAGTAAGTATATATATATATATATTTAGAATATGAAAAGACTAGAATGTTCTTTTCCCAAAATAAAAAGGACCTTCCATGTCCCTTTCATCGCCCCTCCCCTTTCCAATAATTGGTGACATTGCACAAAGCCACTCATCGTCGTCTATTGCACAAAACTAGTGGTGGCCATTAAACCCAGCCAACTTGCTTCCATTATTGCACAAAACTAGCAGCAATCATCCTCTAATGTCTCACAAAGCCACTTCAAGGAGCTTTAAACTTCATATTCAAACCATGTTCACAAATTTAAACTTCATGTTTTAACAAATATTATATTCAAAAATAAGGTGGTGGAGATCTAATCTTGCTATGCATGAAGAATACCAAATAAATGGTGACTAGAGGAGGATGATTTGCTCATTGATGGTGAGCAAATCATCATTTAATGTCATTGAAAGGTTTGTGTTGCAAATTGTTGATTAGTCTTTGCTATGGCTAAGAGGATCAAGGAGAGATTTAAGGGTCAAATGGAGGAAGGGGGGTACAATGGAAAGAGGGGCATTGGAATTGAATGCCATGTGATAGAATTTGATTCTGCTAATTTTAGATGAATAAGATTTCTTAGAAATCATGTTTACAGCACACCATACATGCATTGTCATGGATTTCATTTCATTTCCCTTTCCTTGATTCCAGTCCACCAAATGTAGCCTGGGTCTATCAAAACTTCTTATTCAAGGTTCTTCTATATGTCTCCTTGATGAAGGGAAGTTGTTCATCAATAGCAATCTCAAAAATAATATATAGCCTATTCAAAATACTTTCTTCATTTTCAAATATAAGCAAAATTGAACTAACCAACATAGTTTAAGAAAGTTGGTTAATTCTAATAACTATATTTGAAGATGAAATATTTGGACTAAAATGCCATTGTGATTAGTCCTTTATTTTTCCCTTATTTAATTATACTATTATTTAATGAAGGGCGATTAAGGAATGATGTTGTAAATATTTCTTGAAAATTATTGTTTTTGCTTATAATTAAAAGAAACCATGTAAAAGTTCTACTTAGATTTAAAAATTGAGGGAGTTGTAAATGGTAGGGATGGAACAGTCCAACCAAAGTTAAGTTTGTACCTAAAAACCATTTTTCTTTTAAATAAACCTATTAAACTTCTGTATGCTACATTTGGTTAATAATAAAAGGCTTGCATGGAGATGGAAAAGGAAACCAAAAGGTGGAAGGAACTGTCAAACATAGTGGGATAACATTTTCCTCATTCTATAGGAATATATTTATTTGATCTTCATTTCTTCTAAAAGTTGATTGAATTGAATGCATGCCCAAAAATGTTATTAGCTCGCCCATTTAGTTTAAACATTATTTTCATTTCGTTAGTTCTTAACCACATCTTTATAACTAGAGAAATTCATGACTTTTTAATTATATTCAAATATTTTTTTTAACAATTTATGTTCAAATACTTCTATTACTATCTATTGTTTCGACCATGTTTTAATTTCACTTTAGCCCACCCTAAAAAGTTCTAGAAATGTAGTTAATGGTAGCAAAAACTATCCCTAAGCATTTTCTAACAAGTAGAAGAACTAGAGGGAATTTGGGAAGAAACTATAACAGTAGCCCATTAAAGGTAAGAGTTGCAAGGACAAGTAGATAGGAAAAAATTTCCCCAGTTTGTCTATAAAAAGGAAATCAAAAGAGTAGAAACACATTTAGACACCAACAAACGCTTACATATTTCCTGAAAAACTTAAAATAAATACATGCCAATTTCTTCTTTCTTTCTTTTTTTGTGCGAGTGCCTAGCATTATAGGCCTGCCTCACTTAAGTAAATTAAAAAGGAACAATTATTAGCAATTGATCCAAGCATTCAAAACATTGTTATTGTTTTCTTCACATCCATTGTAGGTCCACACTCATCCAACGTAGCTCCAAGATTTCCAACATCCAATAGATCTATAACACCCTGCACAAACTTGCATCATGTTCATTTTCAGCATCCATCAAATCCATAGCACCTTTGTTTTGACATTTTCTTTCATTTTCCATCTTAAAGAGTCCTTTAGTAATGTTCTTTTATAACACTAGCCACACTATATTCATTATTACTTTATTTCCAATTCGTGGATCTTCAATTTCTCTATATCTTTTTTTTCCCATTCTCAATTTTCTTTATCTTGAACAGTTGTTGGCAAAAGTGGGTAAAATCATTTATGGGATTATATGTGGAGGATTGTTGGATATTATAATTCCTTTGTTAAATATATATATATATATATATATATACATGCTTTTAATTATTCACTCCATTGCTAATATCTTCAGTAAAATTATTGGTATGAAAAAAGCATACCTGTGGCATATCTGAACCATGACACGTGAATGATAAAACAATCTCTAGAAAACACATTCAATGATAGCACATCCACTACCTCTACATAATGACAAGTTACTTTGTCTGGAGATTCTCTCTTAGCTTTCAACCTTCCACTACTATTGGAGCATTCATTTTGGGAGTTCTCTTTCATCTAAAATGTGGTGAGTACGTGCGTGCACGCACATGTGAGGTTTTAAATGAGTTCGAATTTGAGGGCAAATTTGGCATTGATAGTGTTCATATTCACCGTTGCCTATCTCAACATATGTTTTGATATTCACATCCCCAATACCCAATTTTATTTATAAACATCATCGAATCTTACTACCTCATCACAACATACCTTTAGTGGGTACAATTTAGTAAAACCAAACAAGATCAACTTGTCAAGAATAGCTCTTAAGATTGTTAGCAAAAGTGGGTAAAATTATAGTCTGAGTCATGCTCAAAGACACTATCCTGAAGAGCTATTCCGCCATACTAAGTTAATTAGTGGCTACTCCTCAAAATTAAACAAATTCTTTCTACTAAAAGTAAAGATACAGAACAATAGAAATTCAAAGAATAAACTCAAGTATATGCACAATGAAGCAGTGTGATAAAAGAGGAGAGAAAGGTTAAGAGCACAAAGGCTCCTCCAAAATATGTGGCAAGCACTACCTTTTATAGGCAATGAACTCAAAAAACTAGGTAATAAAACTATCCTAATCACATTTAAAAAATCCAGTTCAAAAATAATGAGGCTAAATAAATAAATTTAAGTAGGGGGTTATAGTAATCAATATTATTAAAGTATAATATTTTCTTTTGAAATACTTATAAATATTTTATAATATCTAACAAATTATACCCCTAAAATTTTTGCTATTAATGATGGTTTTACACGTTACCTGCCTTGTGCGTACCTGGTTTTAACAAATACTCTAGAGATTTTGCCACAATCTCATAGAAGCGGCCCCAATCCACATTCGTATGGGTGATTTCATTAAGTGTATCTACAATGAATACACCATCCAAAAAGAACTATGAATATCATTAAGAGCTTTCGCTCAATCTCCGGTCAATGCATTCTAGTACTTTCTCGAGCCATAGGAAGGGACAAAAAATTTTGTACTAGCAGAATTAACATGTGACTTGTTCTTATCTATTGAATCTCATTCATGGGATCTCCAATTATAAATGTTGGATTACCATCATTGTTAATTTTAAATAGGCTTAAGTCTTATTCCCCTCGACATTTTAATAATTAAAATTATCCCCAGAGGCTAGTTAACAAATTTGTCGGATTTACATTTGATATCACATAATCAATTGAGAAAACTCCCCCTTTTTAGCATGCTTAATTGTATCTTAAACGATGTCATCGAATGCCATTATTCTCTTTACAATAGCTATATTGATATGGCTTGTATCGGTTTTACTCATAATATAATATTTACTAAGAAGTTTCTCAACTACTTAGCCTTATTATCAACTAACTTTAAAGTAATAA